GGAGATGGCGGCCCGCCTCATGGTGCAGGCCGAGTCCGGCTGTGCCAACTTCGTGTCCGCAGCCCCGTGCCAGGCGGACTCCGGGCAGGCGGAGGAACAGTTCGGACGGCTCTGGAAGTTTCTCACTGAGTCAGACTTGCCGCCGCTGCCTCCGGGCTGTGACATTATGCCTCTCCTCTACCCGCTCTTTGTCTACCTCCACCTCAGCCTGGTGCAGAGCAGCCCTAAAAGCGTGGTGGAGAGTTTCTATGGTCGCTTCCATGGCCTCTTCCAGGGCGATGCAAGCCAGAGAGAGGTCATAGAGCAGCTGCGGGCAACCCAAACCATGCAGGATGTCCAGGTCAACCCCAAGCTCCGCGCCTTTCTAGACAGCAAGTACATGGTGCGTCTCCAGGAAGACGGCTACTACTTCCTGATGCGCTATCTGAAGAGTGAAGACAGTGCTGCCCTATGCCAGGTCCTCACTGTGCACATCCAGCTGGACGTGCACCCTGCCGGGGAAGCAGCCACCCATCGCAAGAGTGGAGTGGAGACCCCGCAGGAGCTCAGCCCTGCCCCCGTCACCTTTCTGCAGGATGAGGGCGCCCTGGAGGCCCTGCAGGAGAGTATCAGGCGTGTCCGAGCCGGGCCTCCCTCCCTCACCACGCTTTACTTGTATACCTTTTGCGACACACAGCAGCTGCTGAACACCGCCGAGGTTGCCCCTGACAGCAAGCTGCTTGCTGCTGGCTTTGACAGCTCCTGCATAAGAATCTGGAAACTGTGCTCTCAGAAGTTGAAGTCACAGTCCCACTGCACGGACATCTCACGCATCCGCTTGGCTTGTGACATTCTGGAGCAAGAGGAGGGTGAGGAGGACTGCGCAGGCACGGAGATGAAGCTCCTGCGTGGGCACTGTGGGCCGGTGTATGGTGTACGCTTCCTCACTGACAGCTCTGGGCTGCTCTCTTGTTCTGAGGACACGTCCATCCGCTACTGGGACCTGGGCACCTTCACCAACACTGTGCGGTACAAAGGACATGCCTACCCTGTGTGGGATCTGGACATTAGCCCATATAGCCTGTACTTCGCCAGTGGGTCCCATGACCGCACCGCCAGGCTGTGGTCCTTCGATCGTACGTACCCACTGAGGATTTATGCGGGACACCTGGCCGATGTGGACTGCGTCAAGTTCCACCCTAACTCTAACTACCTAGCCACCGGCTCAGCTGACTCCACTGTGAGGCTGTGGAGTGCCCAGCAGGGGACAACTGTGAGGCTCTTCACAGGCCACCTGGGCTCCGTGCTCGCTCTCGCCTTTTCCCCCAACGGGAAGTACTTAGCATCCGCCGGAGAGGACCAGCGGTTGAAGCTGTGGGACTTGGCCTCAGGGACCCTTTTTAAAGACCTGAGAGGCCACGTGGACAACACCACCAGCCTCACCTTCAGCTCAGACAGTAGTCTGGTGGCCTCTGCCTCCATGGACAACTCGGTTCGTGTCTGGGACATCCGGAGCACACACTATAGAGCACCCGTCCCAGGCTCCTCCAGGGAGCTTGTGGGTGCCTACACTGGGCAGACGAGCAGAGTCCTGAGTGTGCAGTTCATGGCCTCCAACCTGCTTCTGGTGACCGGAATTGCACAGGAGGATCAGGAACAATAATGCTTACCTTGGCTAGAGCGCACTGGGCCTTGGCAGGAGTTCTCTGGCTGCAGTGTGGACTATCAAAGAGCCCTCCTTTTTCTACCGGTTCTCCCAGATGCCCCAGTGTGGCAGAGCTTGGATAGGGCTGGACTTACATATCAAACTGCCCTGAGAATGAAGCAAGTTGTAATGTGTGGGAAAAGGGTAAAATAGTTCTGTTTTCTGTAAGAGTTATATTTTGTTTTCAAGTAAAGTATCTTTTCAAAACAGCTGAGTGTTAGCTTATTTTCAATATATCTACAACAACAAATTCCTCAGACAAATGCAAAAATAGTTGCAATTGACATAGTCTAGTGGGTTAAGTATCTGCTTTTTTACTAGCTTTATGATCTTGAGCCAGGTATATAGCTTCTCTGAGTTAGTATTGTCATCTGTAATGTAGGAGTAATCAGAAACTTGTGAGGAATAATTGCAGTGTCATTGCAGGGTCACAGGGCCCACTCAGTATTAGCTGCTATGGTGGCGTCATCCTTAACCGTAAATATCAGCATTTGAAGAATATTGTATTTTTTTCATTGACTGAATTTGTGAATTAAGGACTTATGTAAGTTCCACAGAAAATGTCCTTTGCTTTTGATAAGAGTGGGCAGTGCTGGGGTTGCAACCATTGGTTTGGGCTGAGAGACCTAGCATTTTAACATGGATCCACGTAGTCGCCATTGCGAAGCCTTCATGTTACATTGAATTCTTTGGCTCCCCCGTGTAGGCCTATGTAACCCTCTCATTTGTTCTGCCTATAGTTCTGAAATTTGAGGTACAAAATGGCTGTAAAAATGAACCTGTCTATAAAAGAAGTAAAAATTTCATATATTCATTGTGCAGAAATGTCATACGCTTATCCAGGGAACTTGGCACTGTGATGAAACACTCCTGTCTCATCATCAGAGTGACTCTTTCCAACAGTTCTAGGCGGCAAGGCACTATTGTTGTTGGCTGTTTTGTGGTACTAGGGAGTGAACCCAGGGCTTCACGCATGCTAGGCAAGTGCTGCATCACTCAGACACATCCTAGCCCTCCATTGTTGTTCATGTTCCCAGGAGCCTTCAGGATATCACGGAGTTCCTGCTCTGGAATGCACTCTTGGACGTTGGTGCAGTACCTGATTTCTTTCTGGCTGTGTGTTCTTACCCACAAGGGCGTTTTCATCTTTACCTTGGCTGCCTCATGAGTTTGATAGCACTGTGGTGCCTTTAGCCTTAGCCTGAGCTTCCTGTATCACACTGGTGCCCCTCCCTCACACAGCCCTTCTGTTTGCCCTGTTTGTTTTATGCTATCTTTATTCTCTGGAGTACAATTTAATTCTCGAGTATTGGGCAAGTTTTAAAGAATGAGTGAAGTATTATCCATTTTCTTTTAATATAATTTTAACGCTGTCTCTGAGTATGAAACAAAAGAAAAGTGAACAGGTAAAAAACTGAAAAAATCTGATTAAACTGTAATACTTGGGGTAGGACTTTCTTTAGGCTTAGAAAGATCATAGGCAGAATTTAGGTGCGATTTTCCTTTTTGCTTAAGTATCGACTACAAATAGAATTTAGATACTTTCACATTTTAATTCTGAAAACATATACATTGCTAATGTGAGCTTTCTAATTTTTTTCTTTGCAGGTAATGATGTTTGAACTGAATTATTAAGGTAAGAGTTCTGACTTAAGTAATAATGCTTTTGTGTATGTGTGTATGGTACTGAGGATTGAACCCAGGGCCTTTGCACTAAGCTTCATCCTCAGCTCTTTTTAAAAACAGTTTTGCGGGCCAGGGATTTAGCTCAGTGGTTCCGCCGCCTGCCTTGCAAGCACAAGGACACAAGTTTGAGCCTTGGTAGCAAAAACAAACAACAACAACCACAACAACAGAAGCAGTCTTGCTAAGTCACTAAGTTGCCCAGTATAGGCTTGAACTTGAAAACCCCCTGCCTCAGCCTCTCAAGGTGGTGGTATTATAGATATATACTACCATGCCCGGCTATAATGTGCTTTTTTTACTCATATTTCTTTATTTGTAGAACTTAACTGAATTACTAAAATGTTTTGTTTGTTTTGTGGTCCTGGGCATCAAACCCAAGGCAGCATGTGTACTAGGCAAGTGTTCCACCACTGAGCTACACTCTCAGCCCTAAATAATGATTTAACCTTGAAGATTGTTGCCTTTGGGGCAGTCATCCCAAATGTAAGAGACTTCACATATTTTTAGGTAAATTTAAAAATAATATACAATAGTAGGAAAATTTTTTTAATTTATGAAACTAAAGAAGTTTCAAAGGATTCTACTATTTTTGGAAAAAAAACAAGGGATTTTTAATGTTTTTAAGATGATTATAATGTTATAGGTTGAATGAAGCTGGCTATTAGATGTCAGCTGGAAATCAGATGGTTTGCATGTTCATTTATATCACTGTGTTTGTATACAACACCAAGGTTAGAATAAAAAAGATGTTCATATGTATATTATTTAGTGGATGCCATAATATTCCCAAATAGGATTATCTGAAATATAAAAAATTATTCCTTAGTTCTGGTTTGTGAGTTGAGCATAATCCAAGTTTCTTTGGTCAGAATAATGACGTGGCTTGGGGTATAGCTCAGTGATAGAGGATTTGCTTAGCATGTACTAGGCCCTAGATTCTGTCTCTAACATTTAAAATAAATTATAAATCTCCAAGAAGTCCTAAAACTTAATTTGGTAGATGTAGGCAACCAGTAATCTAGCTGGGATTGCTAGATTGCATGGCCTGGCTTATAATTCAACTTAAAAGATTTTAAAAATTTAGTGCTTTCCAATAACATTTCATGTCTGCTCATGCAGTTGTATTGGTAGAGACTTACAAAATGTTAGGATAAATGAGAGGCATGTCTGTTGTTCCCTCATAACACAACTTGGAACTTTTGTGTTTTCCTGTGTTAAAAAGTGTAGGGAAGGAAGAATATTGAGGAGGGCTGCTGATGAGGTGATGACCAGGTTGAGTAGTTCCAAAGGTACAGTGGTCCCTTAGGAGGGCAGGGTGATCAGCAGAGAGACCAGCCTATGCCGGGCAAAGGCGACAGTGTGTCCAATGAGTCAGTGCCACGTGACATTGCATTTCAGAATGTCTGAAGCAAAGAATGTGAGGGGATGTGCCTAGGCAAGTTTAGGCCAGGTACCTTGCCCTAGAAGTTGACCTTAGTCCTGAATCTCTGCAGAATAAACCGTTGAAGAATTGTAGTCATTCTGAGGGAACATTCGATGGATGCTTTCCCCTGTGTTGAAATAATAGGTATGACCAAAAAATATGGTGAATACCCACCCATTTTTAAACCTTGTTACAGTAAAGATACATTGCCAAAAATGATGGGATAAGAGTATCCAAAGCAGGGAGAAGTATTTTGAGGGGGAATTGATGACATGTCTTTTAGTATAATAAAATTTTAAACATTCATCGTATTTTTTGATCACCCTCAATGATCAAATTTTATGGTGATTTCTGTCATATAAAAACACTATGGTGTGTCCTCATATATCTCATTCACCGGATCTGGCACTATGCAACTTCCAGCTCTTTTCCCAAAGTAAAAATGATCACGAAAGGTGAATGCTTTGAATGGATTCAGGACACCAAGAGAGCCATGACAGTGTAACTAAATACACTCACATAAGATGACTTCCGGAACTGTTTGAGAAAGTGGCAGGAATGCTAGGGTAAGTGTGTTCACAAGTGAAGAAGAATATTTTGAGGGGGATGAATGGCAGTGTGTCTTTTACTGTAATTTTGAAAATTTAAACATTTGCCATATTTTTTCAGTCACACTTCATACAGTGACTTGTTGTTTAACAAAGGGATACATTCTGAGAAGCACGTTGCTAGGTTGATTTGACATTATGTGAACATCATAGAGTGCTTTCACAAACCTAAGTGGTACTGGCAGAAGCCAAAAATGGCACAGGTCATTCACTTGACGTGGCCTTTTGATGCAGTGTAATATGGCATAGTGTTTGACAGTACATTTTTAATGTGTTTGAAGTATACCCTAAAATAAAAAAATATCGTAAGTGTATAAATTGATACCAGTCATTTATTGTCAAATGTTATGTGCATGCTATACTTCGTATACACTGGCAGCATGGTAGGTTGATTTCCACCAGAATCACCACAAACAGGTGGGGAATTCATTGTTTATGGCCAGCTATGTCACTAGGTGATAGGAGTTTTTCTGCTTCATTATAATCTGTGTGACCACAGTCATATATGTGATCTAGTATTGACTGAAAATGTCATTATGTAGCATATAGTTGTTTTTTCTGGTTTTGGTAATCTTTTTAAAAGTTGTAGTTGTTGAAACAAGCCTCTAGTTAAACACAGGACTGATATAGTGAATTTGTTATTCATGGCAGGAGATCAAAGAGCTTGAGGTTCTTTATAGGTGGTATTTTGTTGTTGTTGTTTTTCCTGCAGTATGAGGGATTGAATCCAGGGTCTTTCACTGAGCTACATCCCTAGCCCTTTTAGTTTTTTTTTTTTTTTTAATTTATTTTGAGACAGGGTCTTGCTAAGTTGCCCAGGCTGTGAGTGAATTTGAGATCCCCCTGACTCGCTTCCCAGAGTGCCAGGATTATAGGCATGTTCCTTTATGCCTGGCTTTGATGTTGTTTTGTTTTCCTCTCTAACGTTAATGTACTAAAGGCATTGAGAAGAGCAACATATTTGACAATCAAAAAATCTCCCAGAGCCAGGGATTTAGCTCAGTGGTGCCACTGCCTGCCTCGAAAGCACAAGGTCCCAAGTTTGATCCCTGGTACAAAAAAAAATCTCCTAAGAGGTAAGCATTTTAATTGCTTTGCAGTTTTATTGGATAGTTTAAATTTTATTAATTACAGTGGTCATTATTGGAGTGGTAATTTGAAGAAGTTAGGGTAAGAAATCTGTTCTTTTTAATCATGTTTCCCCTTCACTTGATTTTTCATTATGTTAGTTGCTAGAGGTGGTTATCAGAATAGAACCGAAATGCAGAATTCTTACATGTTAGAGTGTTCACTTATATTATGCCGATTCACATTTGCATATATCAAGACAGCCAGATAATGTTTACTGTAGTGGTCTTGCAAATTTATCCTAGTTAGTAAAACAATTATTATTCATGTCTTTATTACCTTTCCATTGAGGGAATC